TAATAAGTATATTAAAAATATGGAAAGTTCATTTTATGGTCTCTCATCGATGGATATTAGATTGATAGTATTTGAATTCTGCAAAAAAAATTTAATTCCTGTTAACAAATTAGCAGAAGAAGACTTTGTGCGAGACTTTTTAAAATGTTATACTGATTTATCACTAAGAAAACCAGAATTTCTTTAAACAGAGTATTTGGTTTGAACAAAAATAATATTTAAATCTTTTTTAGTAATTTAAAAAATTAGTTAGTTAAATATCACTTTGAGCCACATCAAATTTTGAATTGTGATGGGTCTGGGTTGTCATGCGTCCATAAGTCATTAAAAATAATCTCATCTACAGGAAAACAGTGTGTTTTATCAGTGACAAGTGGGGAAAAAGGAGTCGCAACAACTGTTTTTTATCCACGTAATTCTGTTAGTCATTATGTATCACCCATGATGATATATATGCGCAAAATAGAAGAAATTATTAGTCACAAATAATTCTCTAGTTGGAACTATTCAAGGTTGCTCAGAAAATGGCTGGGTTAATACTGATTCATTTCTTGAATATATACAACATTTTGTTAAACATGTATGATGCACCTTGATCAACAAAGTTTTACTAATATTTGACGGTCATTGTTCTTATACCAAAAACTTAAAAGTTAAAGAGTATGCTTGTGACAATGGATTGTTTTTGCTATTGCTACCACCACACACATCTCAAAAACTTTAACCATTGGACTGTGGATTTTTTAAGCCTTTGAAAACCTTTTTTAATTAAGCATGTATGAGAAACCATTCAGGAAGATGAATATAAACAGAAAATCTTGAAGAAATTTTTAATAAAGAATATTTAAGAGCTGCTAATATGGAAAATACAACTTCAAGTTTTAGAGCGACTGGATTTGTCCCATTTAATAGGAATTTTTAAGAAAATGAATATCTAAGGATATCTATGAGTGATAGTAATAATAAAATCAATTTATCTATACCTCATGAAATTCACTTGGAACGCGATAACAAAAGGTGAAATTTTACAGATGCCAGAGTTGACTACATTAGAATTTGTCATGATAAATTAAAGCCAATTGAAAGCTTTTTAGAGACCACTGTTACTTAATCAAGTTCTTTTGAAGACATAGTTCAAATTCCAAAACTTTATCCTCCAAATAGAAATTTAGCTGAAAAATCTCAGATTATAACTAATTCTCCTTAAAGGAAAAAAATTTTACTTAAAAAAAATAATGAGAAAAGAACAATAGGATAAAAAAAAAGAACTATAAGGAAAAAAATTTACTGAAAAAAAAACAATGACAATAACTTAAACAAAAAAAAAATATACACTAGAACAAAAAATTTAAAAAAAGTTTACTCGAGAAGAAAAAAAGTTTACTGGAGAATGACAAAAACAATTTATATATGTATAAAAAAAACATATATGTATGTAAAAATTTGAGTTAAGAAAAAAAAAAGTCGTTAAAAGTGGATGATGTTAAATTGTTTTTCCAAATGTGTAAAACATTTCAAACATTGAGTTTGTGAATATTAAGTGTTTTTATCTCCATAAATAATGATTTGGAAAAGTAAAATTAATTTGCAAAACTAATGAAGCAGGTTGCATGCTTCTGACGCCAGTGAAAACTTTGAAACTACGGTTTAAATACTGCCAGATTTTTCAAAACTATTAGTATACATTATGTATCACAGACTATATACCTTTCTTGAAAATAACAATATTCTTTATAAAAAACAATTTGGATTTAAAAAATATCACCACTGATCAAGCAATATTATTATAATATTGAAATAGCCTAACTTTATTATAAAAATTAAACTTTTTATAATAAAGTTAGGCTATTTCAATATCAGCAAATGATTGCCTGATGTTTATTTTTACTATGTTTGTAATTTATAATCTTATTGTATAGTATATGTAATTGTAATGTAATAAAGTAAGTAGTATATAAAATATACATTGAGTAGATTATAGCATATAATTTATTGCAGTAAACTATAAAAAAAATACAATTAATTTTATGTGTACTTTAAATACTTAAGTTCAATATATGCATGTAATGTTTAATAATTCTTGTAGTTGATATATATATATATATAGGGGAAGTGGGGGCATAACCGCAGTTCTGTTTTTTGTTAGAAAAGATGTTAGAAAAGTTTTGTTTTGAAATGTTAGAAATTAGATTTTTTTATTTAATTTTTATAAATGAATTTTTGAATTAAAATAAAGCTAAAAGTATATCGAATAAGAAAATTGAGATTGTAAGTACAAAGAATGCCTACACAGTATACAAACGTGCAACAAAATCAGCAAATAATCTAAGCTATGACAATTGTAAAGAAAACGTACCTAGAACAGTGAACCCCCAACGATTTTTGTGAGGGTGCGGTTGTGCCTCACAATGGGGGCAAAACCGTTTTTTTTACTAAGTGTAATTTTTGTGTAATAACATTTTCAAAACCCGTTCAATTTTTTTCTTAAATGCATCGATTTAAAGCTTAATGATGCGGCTATTGAAATAAACTGCTAAAAAAACACATTTCGTTTTTATTTTCATATAACATTTATTCAAACGTTACGGGGGCGGTTATGCCCCCACTTCCCCTATATATATATATATATATATATATATATATATATATATATATATATATATATATATATATATATATATATATATATATATATATATATATATATATATATATATATATATGTATGTATATATAGTATATATATATATATATATATATATATATATATATATATATATATATATATATATATATATATAATATATATATATATATATATATATATACATATATGTATATATATATAATAAAAACGACAATTTTATAAAAACCTAAACATCTGTAATACGTTTTTTTTCATAAACCGAAAATAAAACTCCTAAACTCAAATTTAGCGCAAAGTTAATTTGCTATTCAACTTGTGTTCTCTAGAGAAACAACAAAACCATCATCATCATTCAATCATGTTTTTCAAATTATTATGTTTAAAAAGTAAACTTTTTTTATAATAAAAAACTTTATTCTAAAACTTTTAGGCGGTGAGATCTGTTGCTAGGATACGCCCCTGACGAGTGGCGTTAGTTCAGGTCTCGGGATCTCCGAAACGTCATTGGTGATCGCAGTGCATTCCTGAGGAAGGGGATCACCATTTATCCATTACTTAATTCTAATTGGTTATTATGGCACCAACATTTTTTTACCTATTTAACCCATGTATTTTTGCGCTTTTGTATACTTGTGAGCTTATTATTATGTGTTTGTTACATTTACAACATATATATATTTTTTTATGTTACACAGGTGACAATCAGCTCTCAGTTTTTTATCTAGAGTTTAGAACATATATAGCACCACATTTATTAGACATTTGTATGGTGCGATTATTTTAGTTATGAATACCATTATAAACCAGAGGATTTTTATTGACTTGTTTACTCATAGATCATTGTCTCGTCATTTGCTAAAAGATGACTAGAGTGTGAGTTTTTATTCCTCTTTTCCTGAGTTGCTTACTTTTACTCCTCCTACTAAATAGTCTTTGCATTAATTTATTTGTTTATTTATTTATTTATTTTTTTTACCTAAATGACATCATCTTCAATCTTTTTTTATTATCACATCTCCGAGGTCTACGTAACTGGACGGCTCCGTTAGTCACTTTTTGCGATCATTGTGTCACATAAGCAAAAAAATTTATTCTTTGTGGCTGGTGAGCCCCGACTTTTTTCAATGTACACCACAACGACAAAACGGACATTAGGTTATCCCGCTGGATGTGGTTACGGCGCTCAATAACCTAATGACTACGCTGACACTCACGCACACGTTCAGTCGGAAGCTCCACAATGCACGTTGGATCAGTGCTCGCTGACTATGTGCTCGGATCTGAAATCTCACTTCATAGCACATCATTCCACACCAACAGGGGGCAGTAGCTCTTTTGGCTAAGAGTGATGGCTTGTGGCCTACGGTGACTAAAGTGTGCATTCGATCAATTGAAATCCATTCTGTAGGTCTTACGTCTGGCTCTGATGTGCTAACCCATAAGCGCAAGAAGTGAGTGTGTTTAGCTTTCTATTCACCCGATTTGAAAGTGAACGGAAACAAAACGAGACCATACTAGACGACAAACGGTACGTACTAATGCACTACACCATTACACCTGTAGACATCAACAATCTTTAATATCAGTATATCAAATATTTGTTCTTTGTTACACATGATCTACATACAGAGTGATTATAGTGTTAGTTGGTTCTTTCCCTGCCCCCCCCCCCCTGAGCATTTAACTTTGTTATTTACCTTCACAAAGGTCTTATCACTCATTTTATATTTTCTTATGATTCTTATTTTTTGTTCAATGACACCATCTTCTAACTGTTTTTATTATCATATCTCTCAGGTCTACGAAACTGGACGGCTCCGTTGGTCACTTTTTGCGATCATTGTGTCGCATAAGCAAAAAAATCAGTATACTTTTATATATAAAAAGAATTTTAAATTCAGATACACTAATATTAAGATAAATACACTAATAATAAGATAAATATACTAATATTAAGATAAATACATTAATATTAAGATAAATACACTAATATTAAGATAAATACACTAATATTAAGATAAATACACTAATATTAAGATAAATACACTAGTATTAAGATAAATACACTAAAATTAAGATAAATACACTAATATTAAGATAAATACACTAATATTAAGATAAATACACTAATATTTAGATAAATACACTAATATTAAGATAAATACACTAATATTGAGGGGTATTACGTTTAAAAAGTAAAAGCAAAATTTAGCGAAGTGTTAAAACTTTCTACTAAATAAATAACCTTAAATTTTATTTTTGTTTAAATAATGTTAAGTTATAATAGATCCGTACTTAAGTTTTAATAGATCCGTTATGTTAAGTTATACTAGAATCGTACATTTAATTTTAGGAGTACAAACTTTCTCAGAAAATTTATTTTCACGCGAAAAACTACTTCGTAAAATTCATCATTGTTTTTTACAAGATGGAAACAAGTCATCTTTAGTATTATTTGGAATGTCGGGTGTCGGAAAGACACATGTTGCAAGAAAATATAGTGAAATATATTATAGCTTTTATAAAAACATTGTTTGGATTGACGCAGCATTTGGAATGTTACAAACTTCAATGAGAAACCATTGTCAAATATTAGGAATCGAGATTTTTGATTCGAAAGGTGATTATTATAAAATAGAAGTAATTGTTGAAAAAATTCACAACTATTATAAAAATGAAAAAACGTTGTATATTTTCGATAACGTTGATGATGAAAGTGTTAAAGATTTATCAATTTATATTTCAAAAAAACCGAACTCATTCACATTGATTACCTCCCAATGGAGAACTTGGTCGAATAATGTCAATAAAATGCTAGTTGATGTTTTTTCTTTTGAAGAAGCATTCGCTTATGTTAAAAATAATATTAAAGAAAACACAGATGAAAAAATAAGAAATTTAATTAAAGAACTTGGTTATCATCCTTTTGCAATTACTCAGGCAATAAAATATATAAATATACATGAAATTTCGATAGAAAAGTACATAGATCGATATAGATCAAAACCATTAGAAATATTAGACAATAATAAAATTCCAACCGAAGAAAAATCAAAGTCTGCTATAAAAGCAATTAACCTAGTTTTAATAAAATTAGAAAAAAATAAACCTTTCCTATTTCATATTTTAAACTGTTTATCTCATTGCGACGGTCAAAACATAAATAAACAGTTTATAACACAAATATCAAATCACATGGAAATAAACGATGAATCTTTAATAGATGAAGCTATTGCATTACTAATAAGTTATTCTTTACTAAACCGTTTTGATGATAAAAAATATACAATACACGAACTTACTCAGTTGACATGTAAATGTTTTCAAGAAAGAAAATCAAGCACAAATACATATCTTGATTTAATCGAAAATTATTTTAAAGTTGAAATGAACGAAATAAAAGATCACACAGATTATGGAAACCATTTTGTTTTTCATTTTATCTTTATGTTTCGTACTCACATAAAAAAAATTTCGAAAACATTTCATCATATGACGACTTCTATTCAAAAATTATTAGTATCTAAAGGTTTGTTTAAAGAAGCAATTGAAATATTAAAAGTTATTCAAAACTTTAATACAGAAACTTATGGTGAAGTTAATGAATTCACGCTTGAAACAAAATATAATATCGCAAACTGTTTGTACCATATGGGAAAATATAACAAAGCTTTAAAAATTTGTTATTCTGTTGCTAAATTACAAACTGAAATTTTAGGTATGAACCATCCGTCTACGATGAAAACAAAAAATAATATTGCAAGCTGTTTGAGCAATATGGGAAAATATAACGATGCTTTAGAAATTTATTATTCTGTTGATAAAGTACAAACTGAAATTTTAGGTATCAACCATGAGGATACAATAAGTACAAAACATAATATCGCAAGCTGTTTGCAGAATATAGGAAAATATAACGAAGCTTTACAAATTTATAACTATGTCGATAAAAAACAAACTGAAAGTTTGGGTATCAATCATCCGTCTACAATGACAACAAAAAATAATATCGCAAGCTGCTTGAACGATATGGGAAAATATAGCGATGCTTTAGAAATACTTTATTCTGTTGATAAAATACGAACTGAAATTTTAGGTATGAACCATCCGTCTACAATAAAAACAAAAATTAATATTGGAAACTGTTTGGAAAACATGGGAAAATATAACAAAGCTTTAGAAATTTATTATTCTGTTGATAAAAAACAAATTGAAACTTTAGGTATCAACCATCCAGATACAATGACAACAAAACAAGGTATTGCAAATTGTTTGATCAAAATGGGAAAATATAATGAAGCTTTACAAATTTATAATTGTGTCGATAAAATACAAACTGAAATTTTAGGTATCAACCATCCGTCTACAATGAAAACAAAAAGTAATATCGCAATCTGTTTGAACGATATGGGAAAATTTAAGGAAGCTTTAGAACTTTTTTATTTTGCTGATAAAATACAAACTGAAATTTTAGGTATCAACCATCCGGATAGAATGACAACAAAAATTAATATGGCAAACTGTTTGAACAATTTGGGAAAATTGAACGAAGCTTTAGAAATTTATTATTCTGTTGATAAAATACAAACTGAAATTTTAGGCTTCAACCATCCGGATACAACGAGAACAAAAAACAATATCGCAATCTGTTTGAAAAAAATGGGAAAATTTAGCGAAGCTTTAAAAGTTTATTATTGTGTTGATAAAATAAAAACTAAAATTTTAGGTACCAACCATCCGGATACAATGACAACAAAAAATAATATCGCAAGCTGTTTGAACAGTATGGGAAAATATAACGAAGCTTTAGAAATTTATTATTCTGTTGATAAAATAAAAACTGAAATTTTAGGTACAAACCATCCGTCTACAATGATAACAAAAAGTAATATTGCAAGCTGTTTGAACAATATCGGAAAACATTACGAAGCTTTAGAAATTTATTATTATGTTGATAAAATACAAACTGAAACTTTAGGTATTAACCATCCGGATACAATGACAACAAAAAAATTAATTGCAATTTCTTTAAAAATTTTAGAACAAAAGTAAACGAATTGTTTAATTATTTGATTATTGTTTATCTATTTATAAAATATAATTGAAAGTTTATCTGTTGATAAAATATAATTAAAATACGTTATTTTTCAGTATATTGAGAACTCCGCATTTACTTCATATATATAAAATCCTAATTTTTATTAACATTCAAACCCATTTTCAAATAAGTTTTAATGCAAATTAAAAATGTTTTTTTATTTTTTTATTTTATGACTATAAAATTTCTATTTTTTATAAGTATATATGTTATTGATTATAAATTTAAAAATAGCTAAAAAAGCTAGTTTATGTTTCTTTTTCAATAAAAAATCTAATGTTATTTAAAAGCAAAGATTTGTTATTGCGATATTATGCGAATGTTTCGTGGAAGGTAGAGGTCGCTAACACCATCACGAATAATGCGTTGGTGTTTTTGAATAAAGGATTGCTTATAGGTAGTATTAACTGCGGTATTTAGAGCGAAGGGGAATCTGTTGCGGTTTCTCCAATTGGTGCGAGGTAATTTAGTATTTATCGGATGGTTTGTGTCTGCAAGGATTTAAGAATAATAATACAGGTCTTTTCAAGTAATTCTTCAATGCCGAAACAAATATTGAGGCGGCTCGTGTTAGTTGCATCAACTCCAATGTTGTATGATGTGTAAGGCATTTTTGGAGAAATTTTGTATCTCTTTTTTTACAGCAAAACAGCAAGAGGTAAGAACTGAGGCTATATATCATGTGGCTGATAGCGTAACTATATATCATGTTGCTAATATGTGCAAAGCCATCTTTGCTGATCGCTTTGCACATTGGTCAAAGACCGATGTGCGTAGCCATCAGCAATGGATTGATGTAAATTGGTAGGAACTTTATCATAGATAATGTAGGTCAGGATGTCGTCAGCATATTTTTCGAGAATGGTGTCAAGTGGAAGGTAGGTATTTATATTGGAAATATAAAGAATGAACAAGATTAGGCCGAGAACACTTAAACGCATTACTCCAATCCTCTATAACTTGAATAATAGCGTCCATTGTACTACGGCCTGAAAGGAAACTGAACTGTTTGTTTGAGACCCAGCACGGCTGTTTCAAAGTGAGCTTTACGGCTTCTTCTTTTTTTTTTGAAAACTTCAACGTAAGGGGTGTTACTGAAATATTTATAACTTTTGAAATATTAAAGATAATTTTGTTTTGTAAAAGAAATAAAAACACCAATAAACTGTTTTATCATATGACATTTAATATAATAGTAAAAAAACTTCTTTTAGTTTAGAAAAAACGCGACAAATGATGAAATTGGCTGAACTTTAGTAACTTGTTGTTACTTTTCATTAACAAAAAATTGAAATTACATATTTCTATTACTTATTAACAAGTTATAAACATTATTAGACTATTATAAAAACAAAAAAAGTAATACTCAAACTTTATGTTAGGGGCCATCCATAAAGTACGTACGCAGTAAAATCACTGATTTAGGACCCCCCCTCTCCCCTTGTACGCACTTGTATGCTTTCAACGACCTCCCCCCCCTTCTGCGTACGTACGCATTTTTCATTACAAGTTCAGGCTCTCCTCCCCTTCCTTCCCCAACGCATTAATTTTTCAAAACATTAAACACAAAAAAACATTTTGTTAATTTCTCTGTGCTTAATTAAAAACCGGAAAGTTATTTGTTAATAACTTTCCAGTTTTTGTTAAAGAAAGAAAAATATTCTAAAAAAGAATTCTTGTTGCGAGTATTTATATTTCATATTTCCTCAAATGGTGACTTAAATAAATCAAATATGTTATCAAATACAGGCATGAACTCTGCTTCCACACTTTTATAATCAATCTCCTCACTGATATCTTCACTTTTATTAATAGATTCACTGTCACTTACACTATCCTCACTCTCCATTTCAACCGTGTTTTTTTTTTGTGTATGTGCTTTCTTGTGCCGTTTCATTGCAGCCTCGCTGGGCCAGTATTTATTGCACTTGTCGCAAATTCCGTTTGAGAGCTTTTCCTTTAACGATGGGCAATAGAGATCAAATGGTATAATTTTGTATTTTAATCCTTCTATAGGTATATCATGTAGCAAAAGTCGATGTGTCAGTGGTGCAAACGTTGATTGTTTTGATACGTTTTTAAAATATCGAGACGGTTCCATTGCTTTGTAACCATTCTCGCAGTATTCGTAGATTGCCGGAAATGGAATGAAACGTTGGGGGAAGTTTTTCAGCCAGTTTGTTTCAAACGGTGTGCAACATGACTCCTCTTGGCATTTTACGATTTGTAGGCTGTATCGCGATTGCTGACAATGTTTGTCTACCCAAACAGGATCTGGAATTGGTGGTTCATATGCTTTCCCAACTGGTACAGCCTGGCAATGAACAGGATACCCGTCAATGACGGTTTTCTCCCAAACTTAGGATAAAACGTCAGCCGCTTTTTGAAAGTTCTCTACCTCCAATTCATAGTCGATTGTTTTTCCAGAAGAATCAAGGTGTTTGCCAAAAAAATCATGAGGAAGGACTATTCCAGCCAAATCACGAGAAAGAGGTGCCATTCTTCGTTCTACGGGGTTAAAGGCTGAAAGGCCAGCTGCATTCACACCATGAAGAAGGGCATCTAAATTAAGCAAGCGAAAGAGGTCAACAGCAGTTGCTAAGGTTTTAGGGAAACGTGGTGCTTCATCCTGAGCTCCATCAGTCTCCATTAACATAATTAGTCTACGTTTAACCAACTCGGTTTTAAAAAGCTCTCTAACATCAAAAGCATGTGTAAAAGCATTTGATGTATCGTGTTTCGCACTTCTTATGCGTATGAAAGTGTCCCCACTGTATGATACATTTCCAGTATTGTTAACTTCGCATACGCCATACACTGATGGGATCAATTTGTGCTGTGAGCTAACGACAAAATCGCGATCCATGAGTTTGACCTTGTATTCCATATGCATCAGCAACGGCGCTTGAAGGCTTGCTGCAGCAATACCCAATGGGACCCTGGCTTTATCATCGTTGGAAATGAAAAGCACAGCTTTTGGTCCAAACAATTTGCAAACTTCGAACATGTCGTCAATGAATGATTTGGCAAACATTCTATCGTCATTTTTTTTTTCGCATTGAGTTTTCTGGACGTAACAGCTTTACTGGAACTGTGCTGACATGTTTTTTTCCTTCAGAAGTGTTTCCACGTCGTGGTAAAAGACGAAGGTACAAACCACTCCTACTCAAGGTAAAGCCTATCTTTGTCAACTCTTCCTGAAGGTCATCTAAAGTGGAGACGCTACGGAGACATTCTGTTCTTCGACGTTCGTCAGCTGCTGATAAATTTTGCACAATTTTTATAATTGTTGATAAAAGCTCTGGTTGGTCAACTTCGAGACGCGGTCGTCCAGTATGGTTTCGACTAAACTGTTTCAAAGCACTTGATGCTTCAGGGATGTTCTGACACACAGTTTCAATGCTCTCTTTAAGTTTTTGTCTTCGTTTTCTTTGACGAGCTGATTCACGAATCAATCTGAAAACGAAATATCAGTAAAGCTTTGATTCCGTTATAAAAACTTCTATACTTAAGGTTTCGCAACTTTTGGCTAATGTTGCAAAAGAAAAAGTACGCAAATTCTTATTTCAAATAAGAAAGTATTATTTACAATAAGATTATAAAAGTTTCTGTCTTTGAAAATGTTTGGTTTTTATAGCCAAGACGCTTTTCTATACGCATAAATAAACTCTGTATTATTTAACATATATCTCTTGATATTTAATAGAAACCTGACAGTTAAGCATTCTAAAATGAAATATCAAATAAAGAAATACATAACTAAATTATCTTACCTGTCCAATTTTGTTTTTTCTTTTCTTATGGCTTCTTTCACAGTGTTTATTTGTTCCTTTGTTACGGTAGATAAACTAGAATCACGTACGACTATCAAGGATGCACGTTGTGATTCAAGATCTGAGATTTTCTTTCGACTCCTAACTTGTGCCGGATTTTCTCTTTCTTTTTTGTTGTTAATTCTAATGTAGTTAAATCTAAATTAAAAAATGCCAAAAAATAAGCTATTATAAATTCTTGACAATTACTACTAATTAATTTATTTTGGATATAGAAAAATAGGTCTAGTGGTCAACATTATAAATTTCTGTGACTGCTCTAAGGTCGTACGATGTAGTTTGATTTACAATACGGTTAAACTCAGTAGGCCGGGTGAATAAAAAAGAGCAATTGCTTTTACTCAGTAATTGTTCAGTTTTACGTGAATAAAAAATTGAGGAATTATCCTCAAATTTCTATTCACGTAAAGTTGAGCGTTGTTGGAGTAAATTGTTCAGCTTTACGTGAATAAAAATTTGAGCAATCTTGGTCAAATTTTTATTCACGCAAAGCTGAACAGTTACTGAGAAAAAGCAATTGCTCTTTTTTATTCACCCGGCCTAATGTATAGAAAATCACAAGAGAGAAAAAGTTTTTAAAATTTTACAGAAATTAGCTTACTAATTTCAATCCTTGCAGGCTCTGTCGTAGTTGCATTTAGGAAACTTCGTGTTTCATTTGACGAAGACGGCGCTGGATGGATATCTTTTTTCTTTTTGCTAGGTGGTGAAATGGTATTTCCCCAGAATGACATAAGTGATACTTTCGACTTTGTTACTTTCTCTTTTAACTCATTTATTTTTTTTTCATACAAGGATTCATTGTTTTTTACTATTTTCCACAACTCTTGTGCTTGCTGATACTGCTTTTGTTTTTCAAGTGTTGAATATGCTTTTTTATATAACTCAAGGAATTGAAGGTATTTTTTCTCGTTCCCGCGCGGCATCTTGGTCATAATAAATAACAAGTTTTTTTTCCAATGAGGCGTATTGAGTTTTCGAATAGAATCATAAAAGTTTTTTTTGTTTTAGTTTACTCAAGATAATTGCCGTTACATTGCATCATAAAAAGTGTTGGTTTCCATCAGCATTTAAAGTAACTATTTTTTACAATTATCACAATGATTGTCATATGCATTGTCACATGTATGTTCATTTCGCTTCGCCTGTCCTTAGCAATCTTAATGTGTGTTAATATTAACTTTACTGATTAAAAAAATAATAATATTACCTTTTTTTATTTTATTGTTTTTTAAAAACAAAATATTAACCTTTTAAGAGAAATGGGAAAAACCAGGTTCGTAATTAAAAAAAGAATTCAGAAGAAGTTTTCTTTGATTACAGTTTTGTTACTTTTCATCTTGCTACAGTCGAATTATGTTGCAAAAAATGGAAAACATTATTTGGAGATATTATAGCTCGATTTTTTCTCTCCTCGTTACTTATAAAGAAAAATAAAAAACAATTGTAATTGAAGTCAGAAAAAAAAATAACATATATTATATTATGATTTTTTAACGTGAAATTCAATGTTTTTATAAAAAAACATTAAAACACGTGAAATTCAATGTTTTTATAAAGAAGTTTAGGAGAGATAGTTAAACCGCGTACGTACTCGCTGTCGTTAACACCCTTCCCCCCCCTGTACGCATTCGTACGTTTCAGGATAACCCCCCCCCCCTCCCCCCATACATGCGTACGTACTTTATGGATGGCCCCTTAATTGAAACAGAGATAATTAAGTCATAAAACAAAATCGCAAAAAATATAAGAGAAAATGTTTTACGTCATAGCTTTAATAACGTAAACAAAAAATTTACGCGAAAAACTAGAAAAAGTTGCTAAACATGCCAAGTTTGAAAACATATTCGCTAACATAGCAATAGGGAAATAAAATAATTTTTATATTTTCATCAGCATTAAAGGTCGAAATTTTGTTAACTTACGTCATCCATTAATAAAATTATATTTTACATTTAAAAGAGATAAAATTTAATGTATAAATGAATTGAAAATGCAAAAAAAAATACTATTTATTTAAAGTTTGTAAATTTTTATACTTTTTATGCGGAAATTCTTTTTTATAACACAAAAATTCGTGTGGCGTCAAGCTCGCTTTTATATTAAGTAAAACAGCCGTGTCAGATGGGCTTGGTGTGATGGACAATGAATTTGGTGACAATGCGTTCAAACACTTTGCATAACGCGGACGTAATAGCAATTGGACGAGATGAGTGATTTGTTATTTGTTAGCAAGCCTGACTTCTTGCCATAAATTTGTTTTACCGGAGGAGAAGCGTCGCTTAAAAATACGGTTTTTTTTTGGTGATTAGTTTGAATACTTGATTTGCAAGTACTTTCCACTCAGAGTAGTGACTAGAATAATAAAGTTGCTGACGTTCTTTTATAAAGCTCTTAATAAACGACGTCATCCAGTGTTTAGGATTGGCAAGCGTTGTAGTTCCCAATGGTTAACAGATGTTTTGAGCATAGAATATAGAATAATAAAAGTTGTTACAAGCGGTTTGCATTTCATACGGTGAATCAACTAGGGTTTCAAGATCGGTACATTGTATTAAGGCAACAGTATCAGCAACTCTACCTGATTGATACGTAACCTTTCGGGGGGCTGGACGAGTAGTTTTGTAGAGATTGAATTAGGGCTGACTTACTACAACAAGTAGTCTGAATTGCCAAAGCTGGAAAGGGTATTGGATACCTAGCATTTTGGAGCATTACTTAAGATAATGTGAAGAATTGCTAATTTCCGGGTAGGTTGTGAATTAAGGTGAATGAGCTGGTGAGAACGGTAGATAAAGTCAGTAGGGCAACTATTTAGATCTCCTGCGATCTAAATGGTTGCCCTACTAATTTTATCGGGAGTTGGTTGTCGGTTTTATTTGTTCTATTTTTTCAGAATAATTTTTATTTAGAAATATAATAGTGCCAACACTTTTGTGGTCTTGACGTTCTGTGCTTATGTAAGTGTTATTACTATTGACTTAAGAGTGAATAACTTACTTTTCAGCAGTGTTTAGCCACGTTTCAGTTAGGCAGGCAACATCAATGTTGATAACTGTGAGAAACTGATTGAAGATCTTGATTTTGTTACACAGAGAACACATGTTATTAGTGAAAATGTTTCGTTAGCGATTGGTGTTGGCTGCTAAGCTAATTAGTTTTTTTTTTAGTTAGTTTAGTTTAATTAGTTAGTTTTGCTGAAACTCTAGACTGTGATAGTGGAGATGAAATCTCTTTTGCGAGACTACCATAAAAGACTCCCAAAATAAACGTTATTAAAATTTCCTAGGCAATATCATTAAGGAGTAGTCGAGTTTAGAATACAAAACGACGAATTTATATTGTTCTAATTACTCAAAAACAGTGTAGTTAAATTAAAATCCCTTGGGATAAATGACTATAGAGTCTTGAATAAAACGGCAAGTTCCAATTTTCTAGATTTCTAAATTTGAAAATAAAAGTGAAATTTCTTATGCAAGATGACTAGAAATAATCCTAAATAAAACGACACATTCCGGTTGGCCAGAAATTTTAATGCAGAAATATGATGTCATAGGTAAAATTTCTCTGGAAGTAACTGTTTAGAAGTCTTAATGTTAGAAACAAACAAACAATTTCCATTGGCTGAATTTCTCTACCCAGGATAATATTGTCACAGAGTTAATTTTTAAAAGGAATAGTTTGTAAAGCGAGAAAACTATACGAAAATTCTTAAATAGAACGACAAATTCCCATTGACTGGATGTGCTCCCTTAAAATCATAGTCACAAAGGTCTCATGTTGCTTTCTCCTCCTAATATTATTTCTACATATAGTGATTAGTTATAGGCATCTTACTCACACACCGACACTTTTTCAATGAGTACATTTCTTTACGAGTCGAACAACAATATCGACAACAATAGTTTGTACTATACCAACGAGGAGAAGAGGTTAGTTACACCATTCTTCGTAAAAAACCTGTTTATACCAAACTGGCATACTGTATTTAATAACAGATACAAATATCTGTTAAACAAAGAGAAGCTTAGACTTAGACAGCAACTCATTGACAAAACGATAAATAACCTCAGCAGGTACTTTCCGCCACAAAAATCAACGCCATCTCAAGGGGTTTATAATTCATAACCGCGCCACAATCCACTCCTCAGGAAGAATATATTGCCCAATTCGAGAATTTTAATAGAAGATTAAACTGTAAACTGTTATTTGCACAAATCAAAGATGAAAGGGACAAAAGGAGTGTCGAGTTTAGGATACCAAACCCTACAGTGAACCCTCTGCAATCAGATGTAAGATCAAACGGCTGAACCAGTGAACCCCCTGCAATCAATCGTAAGATCAAACGGCTCTTTAAAATCCTCGAGATCAAAGTAACGGAAATCCTGAATCATAGAACGGAAAAGGATAGGCCAAATCTCAGTCAAGGTGATTTAAGGGCAATCAAATGTATAGAGAAGAACCGTAATATCGTCATCAAAGAAACCAATAAGAACCGTTATATCGTCATCAAAGAAACCTACAACCTCCCAATCCATAATACATACACCTTGTATGTATTATGGAAAGGGAGAGGGTTTATGTATTATGGATTGGGAGGGTTATGAAAAAAAAAATTGGACCTAATGGAGGATTATGTTACATATGAACGGCTAACACACAACCCTATGGCACGTATCATCAATGAAATACATGACATAGTAGACCTTTTGAAGACACGGCACATAATCAATGAATCATTGGCTGATTATCTCACGTCTATGACACCTGTAGGACTCCTTTGTTTTATGGCCTTCCAAAGGTACACAAGACTGGCGTATCTTTAAGACCTATTGTTTCGAGGTGTAATGACCCGACTGACAAACTGTCCAAGTATGCATTCAAATATTTACAGAGTTTAGCGGTAACACTACCAGCCAATCATAGGGAAAGCACCCACCTATTACTAAAACAAAAGTATACGTCTACGGGGGATTATCTAATGGTCACAGCGGATCTCACCTCACTGTATACTAATATTCCTCATGAAGATGATATAGAGGCAGTTAGATATCATCTCCAACAGAATATTAACCACAAGTTCCTAACTGACCTGACCCCATTCCAACTACGTTCTACTTCACCCTCATTATATGTACTTTCCTAGAAAATGACGCCTTTCAGTTTGGCGAACAGCATTTCCAGCAGAGGTATGAAACGGCCATGGGCTTGACAATAGGATCACTGTATGCCAGTTTGTTTATGGGAATTCTAGTCACAGAGACTACAAACAACTTCCCAATCAACATCATGTTCTATAAAAGATTCATTGATGATCTCTTTTTCTCTTTCAATGGGATGGCGGAAAAACTTGAGATAATTCAAATTTTCATAAATGATCTCAACAACATTATAAGATTTACTTTCAAGAGCTTGCAATGCACGATTGACTTCTTAGATCTCAAAGACTCGAGAGGAGTACTACGTACCATACTATACAGGAAGCTGACGGACACCATAAACCTGTTACATTTTAAGTCTAGTCATCCAAGACATCAAAAACTTGGTATCTTTTAAGGACAGACGTTAATATTTAATAGGATTATCACACATAATAATGGCCTGATAAAGAAACTGAAAGTCCTAGACAGAACACTTGTTCTAAAAGGTTACTCGTTATCGGTGGTATACTTCCAAATACAAAAAGCCTTTAGCCATAGCCAGAAAGATTTGTTTTTTTTTTCCTTATTTTTTTCTTTTTTCTTCGTTAACATCTAAACAATTCTAGATAATTTTAGGTAACTGATATTGATACTATATCAAACCATGAACCACGCGTAATGTTGCCAAACCTAAATGAAGTTATGATGGAAGCAATGGCAATGCCATATACAAACATCATAATGGAGAGACACTATATCTACAAACAAATGAATGGAATTTGTTACTATCCAATGTACACATGGCCATAATATATCCAGCTAATGTTCAAGAACAATATTACAAAGGACATGGAGACTTTTAAATTGGTACTCTTTTTTGTAAGCAATTATTGCGCTCCTTTCCTAATCTTCAAATTCCTCATACTCGGGTTGAGTAAAGATCGAGTTAAGTTCAATAAACGGATGCAAAAATTAAGATGGCTGGCCCATAATCTGGACCAATATGGACACCGTTGGTACTACTTTGACATTTTAACACCATCAGGTATCTCAATCTGCAACCTACAGAACGGACAAAAGTGACAACAACGACTGCAATGATGCACTTCTTTAAGTTACACTATAGACACTTGGTGTTATTTACAACAGGTAATACACTATGCAGACTTATTTTTGCACACTTATTTTTCCTATAATACCTTACCTTGTGAAGATGTTGATCTTTTTGCTTGAATTTCTCACGGGATATTACTTTAGAAAGAGTAGACTTAGATAGTTATAGACCGACATTCATTAGAAAGAAAGATGTGTTTTTTCTTTCATCTTCCATACAAACTTTTATGCTTACTAATTTAATTTTCCTCATTTTCCTCATCCTATTATGGCTCAAAGTGTTCCAACCAGTACACGGACCCTGTTCGTGCATAAAATTCTACTAAAATAAGGGTGATGCATTAGGGTGGATCGATTTTAAAAATTTTTTGAAATTTGATTTGCTTGAGTAGCGAATCGATATCTTTTGGTGAAAAAAGAACATTTTTAAAAATGGTTTCATTTGACACGTAGACCATATAAACTGATAGACACAGCGCTTTCTGAAAAAGTTGAAGCCAAAATATTTTTCGCCTATGACGTCACTTTGTGGCAAAAACGCAAAATAAAGATTTTAGTTGAGTTTTTAAAAAAAACTTGTTCTTAAAAGAACTCTTAAGAACTTTAAGAAAGAAAGTTTAATCCTCCTATAAAGAATTATTATATTTTATTTTTAGGATTCATTTTCTAATAAAGACTAATTCTAATAAAAGTCAATTACTAAACAATTTCGTTAAGCTAAAAACTTTTAACTTAAATTTATAAAAAACCCTCGATTTTATTGGACAGTAAAAATAACAAAAAGTTAAATGTATATGTAAATATATATATATTATTGACTACAAAATAAAATACTCTTTGTTAATTTACTTCATAGTTTTTTTGAATGTTTATTTAAAATATCTGCTTGGTGGTATAACAATAATAGAAGCTAATCATTTTTACTAAACTGACCAAATGATTAGATTGAACATCATTGTCAAACATATGATCTCCATCATCAATAAAAATAGAACTGCAAACACTGTTAAGAATATTATTAATCAATTTTGTTATTATATATTTTTGAAACAACCTCTTTTCTTCCTGAAAAATTCTAATTTCACTTTCTGCAAGTTTACATACGTGAATTACGTCTTTTGATGGTTGAACCAAACACAGTTTAACACTGCTGTAATTTTTATTTGTTATAATAGTTAAAGTTGGGGTCTTTGATTGAATTAAGGTTAAACAAATGTCACAATCTAAAACCTTTTTAACTTTTTTTACAACAAATCCAGCAATATATTCGACAACATCAGACACATATAACAATAATTTTCTTGAATAACTTATGTTGTTTAGAGCATATGCATGGTAATTAGAATTAGTTTATTCCATTTCAAAATCTTCAACGAGCTGATGATCAATTGTTTTTATTTTAACATTTTTTAATGTATTTATTGCTAAAAGTATCGATGGCGTTTGCTCAATGCAATTGGCCTGAGAAGAACCTAAAACACTTGTGCATTAATAATTTTTTGTAAGCAGCTTGAAATTGTTTTGCTGTGAGATAATTTGTAAGCAAAAAGATACCTTTTAAAGCAAAAAGATACCAACTACTATTGCTATTTTGAACATAGTCATTCCATATTCCCATAAAAGACTTCAGGCTTACAATCATCCCAATAAAGCCTGTTTTTCTCAGACTTAAATATATAGGCCTTACATTGTTAGCACATTTAAGACTAAATATTCTATTGACTCTTTTATTTTTTTGAAAATAGCTTCTTTATTTTGTTGTTGTAAACTAGCTTTAAAATTTTTAGCTAATAAATTCCTGCTACTTAAAATGTCAAATATGTTACTAATTTTATAGATAAATTTTTCTGTTGCTTTGCTGTCTTCAAAATCCTTAGAGTACTGGTTTTCTCTTAAATATTCTATTGCTTTTGCAACTTTTTTGACTAAATGTTTGTGCAGCCAACTTGACCTTCATTTTTTTTGAAACCAATTTATATTTCTTTCTGTAAGTTTTGTTGCTAAATGCAGCCCTTCCTTTTCTTGAATAGCTACTAATTTGTCAATATAATCCCATTTTATTGATTTATTATTAGAATCAAACATTATTTTGTACAAACCAAATGTATTTCTTATCAGTTTTAACATGTGTGGAGGATCCATTATAATGTTAACTGGCTTTTTTGTAACTGGATGTGAAAAGTATGTGCAAGTGGAGTTAACAGAAAAATCAGCTCCAAGATGATTAGCCATACTAATATTAGACGAAACACCATCAAAAGTTAAACTTGTTATAGTAATTTCAACTTTGCCTAATATTTTTAAACACATTTTTTACTAAGTTACTCTTTTGAATTGCTGAGATTCCATTAATTAAAAAGTAGCCCATTGGTAATTTTTACGAAACATTTAATTCCAATGATTCATCTCTATCTAAAGATGCAGTTTCTGAGGTACTTGAAAAAGATGCAGCATCATTTATTGTTTCAATATTTTCACATGTGGTTTTTCTATTTGCTGGAGGTTTTCTAGGCTTCACTAGTTTCATTAAACTGCTAGGAAAATCAAAAATGCCTGGTATAGCATCTTTTTTAAGTTGCTTTTTTGAACTCCAACCACAAACAATGTACGATTCTTGTTTAAAATAGTTAGAACAAATTTTTGAACTCTTTGTTGGATTAAAGCTTTCTAAACGCATTGCAACAATCCATTTATTCTGAATTAATAAATCTTAAGTATATCTACAACATAAAAATATTTCATAAATAAAAACAAAATAAACTGTAATTAGTGTATATATATAATTAAAATTTTTAAACAAATACTAACTGATATTACTGTATATTAACAACGTTATAGCAATTATTAACATTCATAATCATTTAAACTCCAAAATCAGGAATTAAAAATTCAAAAACAAGATTTTATAAACAGTATGCTAGATTTTAGTAATTTTTAAATTATAAATTATGCTTAGGGTTTTGAATACATATAGACCATTACTAATAGTCTGTGGTGTAATATGTATAGTGTAAACATAATATATTAAATGTAATATGTATGGTGTTAATATAATATAGTGTAAATATAATAGGTGAATGGTAAATGGTACCATTCATCAAAATGTATTTAAAACTCAAAACTTGCTACACAACACAATGTATTTACGAATAATAATGACACATAATATTATGATATTTTATTATCTAGCAGGAATCTTAGAATCCTATGTCATAGGAATGACATCTCTATGTCATAGGCTATGATTCAAAAATATTAATTATATGATATTAATTTCTTTTTTATTTATTACAAACTCTTACCCATGAAATGTCTGAATCATTTTTATATCTTTCTATGCAGTTGTATGCACTGCATAGAAAATTGATTTAAAAAATGAGATAAATGTAAGAGCGAACTCCTTTAAAAAAATGTTTTTTGCCACAAAGTGACATCAACGCACAAAATTTATTTTGGCTTCACTTTGAGATGAGTTTTATTTAACTAGCGCCGTGTCTATCAGTTTATATGGTCTAAGGTTTGACAGAATAAAAAAAGGTTTTGAAATTATCTTTCCATTTTTTTAAATTTTAAAAATAAAAAAAAGAAGCTATATTTATTAATCTTCTAAGAGTCTTGAAAGGTTCCTTAAAAAAGGTTCTACAGAATATGAAACATGGAAAGTAAAGCACAAGTGTAGTCTTAATCATACCAAGTCGTCAGCAGCCATGGAGAGTGCTGGTGCAGTTGATATTTTTTCTCGTTCTCTCTCGCAATATGGTTTAATTTACAAATACTATCTGGGAGACGGTGATTCTTCTTCTTATTTTAATGATGTTGTTGCAAGCAAGCCATATGATGTTTTTAGTATTATACCTGAAAAATTAGAATGTGTTGGACATGTTCAAAAAAGAATAGGTTCACGTTTGATAAGTCGACGCAAAGTGTCATATGGCGATAAAAACTGGGAGGTTAACTGAAGCAAGTGTTAATACATTGCAGAATGCTTTTGGTATTGCTATCAGGCAAACAGCCGCAAAACAAAATTCAACCGATGAGCAGAAAGTGTATCAAATGAAAAAAAACATAAAAGCTGTTTTGCGCCATTATACTGATTTTGAAGACAAATCGCATCGACATATTCTTTGCCCAATTGGTCCAGATAGCTGGTGCAAGTGGAAAAAAAGTAAAAATGCAGATGCAGATGAAAACTGTTCTCCTAAGTTAAACTTGCCTGAATGGATTTATGAAATTATCAAGAAAGACTTTGATGAATTGAGTAACGATGATCTATTAAAAAAATGTCTTCATGGGCAAACTCAAAATTGTAATGAAGGACTAAATAATATCATCTGGTCTCGATCCCCAAAAATGTTTATGTAAAGACTAATGTTCTTGAAATGGGAGTAAACTCAGCAGTTTTTTTCTTTTAACGAAGGTTCATCTGGTATTTATCGTGTATTTAAACATTTAAATCTAGACTTGGGAAAAAATACAATAACTAGTTCAGTAAAAAAAGACCAAAAGAGGTTACAAAATATGGTAAAAAAAGGCCAACCACAAAAAAAAAGAAGAAAATATTTAAGAGGAATTAGGAAAGGTTGGATTGATAAAGGTCAAGATCAATCATCAAAAAATAGCTACGAAAAGGGATGTTTTTAAAACTTTTTTTACTTATTTGCGATATATCTAAAAATGAGTATTTTACCATAATTTATCAACTCAAAACATGATATCTCAACATTAAAAAATGCTTAGACCTCCCAATTTTCTCCAATTGTTCAATATATATATATATATATATATATATATATATATATGTAGAGAATGAACTAAAATCTTGATGATTGAATGAATATTTATCAACTGCTAAGTCTTTTTTGAACCTTACCCCCCTAGAAATTAGTTAATTTTCAGTTTTTTGGGACTTAAAAGAAATATTTTTATTTTTATATAACGATTTTAGTTCATCCTCTGACTCATGTATCAGAAAGTAATATTGCAAAGTACCGAGTTGTTTTAATTAGCCATTCTGGAGTAATCGTGTTTTGAAAAATAAATAAAAATATGCTTTTTTGTGTGTTTTTCAACAATAAAGTCCTTTTTTTTTTTTTTTTTTTTTTCAATAAACCTTTTATAATTTTTTTTATTATTATTTTCATTAAATTAAGTTTATAAAACTGATTTTAGAATTGATTTAAGTTACTTTACTGAAAAAAAATTATTTCCTGTGAAGCCACCTTAATGTTTTATTTTTTTAAATAATGAAATATTTGCTAACATTTAAATAAAATGCTTAAAACATTTTTTACTACAATCTAAATTATTATTGTAATAATAAAGGCAATAATCAAATTATTTTTGTATAAGATCTTGAAGTTTTTATTTATTGGTGTATTGACATTTCAAATGTTTGATTTATTTAATAACTTTATCAAATAAATGAAACATTTCATATGTTCGATTTATTTAATAAAGAAGACATTTTGAATGTCTTCTTTATAAAATAAATCAAACATTTGAAATGTCATACAGTATAAGTTTTTTTATTTTATTATTTATTTATAATAGTTTAGATTATATAGCTATTATAAGATATATTATTAAAGGTATCAAAAATATATATGTGACATTGAAGTTGTTAGAAGCTAATATTTTACATTTTAAATATGTCTCTTTTGTTTGATTTTTTCTGTGTTTGATTGTGAAACATCATCTACTAACATATTAAAACAGTGTACAAAAAGTGATGATCTTAGAAATTATATTCTACTTATGCAGAGCTTTCTAACACTCCATCTTTCTGAGGTAGAGGGACATTATTCTTGATTATTTTTTAATTTAATATCTCTGGATATTTTTTATATTTAGTTTGCGTACAACAGTTAACAACTTTAAGCTTTAATTAACTTTAGTTATAACTAATGAAAATCTTTATCAACAGCTTTAACTTTTACAATTTTAAAGACTTTTTCATATGTTACGGTCAAAAAGTCAGAGTGTTAATTAACATTTTAATGTGTAATAATCAACATATCAAAGCTTACAGCACAGTTCGGGAAGGTCGGGTAGCGGAAGCAATCGCTCTCGGGAAGACTTGGTCGGTTGCATCGGCTTCCCGACCAAGCCTGTGCTGTAAGCTTTGATATGTTGATTATTACACAATAAAATGTTATTTAACACTCTGACTTTTTGACTGTAATATATAAAAAAGTCTTTAAAATTGTAAAAGTTAAAGCTATAGATAAAGATTTTCAATCATCAGACATAAAGACTTTTGTATAAAAACTTACCATTTAATAAATTTGGTTCATTCAATTTCTCAGACCAAACATTAAACTTCTGTAAAGAGTTTGGAGTTACAGGTAAATCCCAAAGTTTAATAATATTTTTTGTTTTATTATTAGAAAAAATAGGATAAATCATCTTCACCAAGATATACACAATTTTCTTTCTCTTTAATCTTTATTTTGATATAGCAGAATCGCTTGGTCGGGAAGCGGAAGCAATCGCTCTCGAATACTGACCACGGAAATATTCGATATATTTAGTTGTGAAAAACTGGCCAAGTTTTTTAAGAACAATGTTTATAAATATAACAAAAATTTTTTGTTTGATTTCAAAGTTGTTGTCACCAACTTTGAAATCCATTTCAAATCAACTGTTGAAAAAAACAACAGAGTATTCATATCAGTTTAAAGTTTTAACAGTTGCTGGTGGTTCATTATTATTCATTATATAAACGTTTATTTAAATTTATCTAATAGACGAAGGTAATACAATATTTTTATAGATGATAATATTTTAAAAAATTGTATTATTAAAATTCAGAAGTAAAATATGTAAAAAAAATTATTTACAAACATTGGACAAGGTCCTTACTGTACCTTTAAAATCTGGAAAATTTGTTAATATTGGCTAAAGTCGTGGAAAACCTGGAAAAGTCAGGGAATTATTTTTTTCTTAAATAGTCATGGAAAAATCAGTAATTCTAGGTATAACTAGTTATAACTTCTTATAAGAAGCTACTCGTTTTACAATTGAATGGTGTATTTTGAAAACGTGATGAATCACATTTTTTTTAAAAGTGAGGTTGTTTGAAAAGAATTTTTTTTTTCAGGAAAAGATAAAATTATAAGATAAAATAAAGATTTTTTTTAGATAAAAAAAATAATTTTTAGATAAAATCAAAATAAAATTTTCTACAGGAGAAATATTTTTCACTCTCTTGTAAAATTTTAATTTCGTGACTTGTCACATTTTCAAAATACAGCGTTCAATTAAGCTATTATGTTTAATATGTGCTACCCATTTATTTTTTCTGAAACATGTTTATCTTAGTGTTCGTTCTTAGTGTTCATTCATTCTAACATGTATAATAAAATCTATACTAATATCCAACTTAACTAATAGCTAAGTTTTATAAGTTTTGTCATTCAAAGCATGTACAATCTTAGCATTTTTATTACAGTAGATAGTAGTTTTAAACATTTTGTAAAAAACATTGTTAAAAATGGTCAGGGAAAATCATCTGATTTTTCAAAAAAGCCTGTTGAGAAACATTGTTTTAATATGAATTTTTTTCTTTTACAGTGCAATCTGTATTTTATAAGATAGGGGAACCTGTTGTACCTAGGACAGTTTTTCAGATATATATTTTTTATTGCGATTTAACGAACAGCACGCAAATGATAATTGCATATTTTGAAAGATCAATTACTTGGGTACTCACCACCAAAATATCAGAAATGTATATTTCATACTTAATACTTAGATTTTAAAGTTAAAAAAAATGGTAATTAAGGCCAAGGTACAACATAGCCTATGTACCTTTGCCAGTACTATGGTGTACCTTGGACACATTGAGAATTTGAAGTGAATTCAAGTAAGTTATTAACTTTTCTTAACCCAAATCGTTTTATTCGGTCTATTACATTATTTATCAAAACACCTTCGAAAATCTGAACAATATCAAAATAATATTCAACTTTTTTTTTGCTTTTTAAACAAAATCTTTAAACAAAAACATCAAACGTTTAATTACTATTTTGTTACATCACAAACTTTAAAATTAGTTGATTTAAACATATCACATTATATATATATATATATATATATATATATATATATATATATATATATATATATATATATATATATATATATATATATATATATATATGTATATATATATATATATATATATATATATATATATATATATATATATATATATATATATATATATATATATATATATATATATATATGTTTAATGAAACAATTCTATATTACAAAGCATAGACAGTTAAATATCTAAACAACTTTATAAATTATCATTTCTCTTATAACATTTTATTCGGTGATTGGCTTTTATAAGAATACTATTAATATGAAGATATATTATTCATTTAGTAGAAATCCCAGTACTTTTGTGTCTCTTGAATATAATAAATTTCTATGTTCTGGTTAACTTTTTGCGGGGTTTGAATTTTTTCTATAATGTCACTTATTGGACACAGATTCAAATCCTCTTTTTCAGGCCATTTCCAGTTTTTAAGTGATTTTTGCATTGATTTCAGTAATATACCTTCTTTAGATATTGATTCTACCTTTCCGACAAAATAGGAACCTTCATATAAAAATATAACATAGTCTCCAATATTGTAATTTTTTCTATTAACATGTTCAACCTGTAGGTTCTCATCATCTTTGTTATTGTCGGAGGCA